AAAAAATATGATTTTTTTTAAGCCACTGTCTTCTCTTTCTCATCTGAATTTAGAATGCAAATGAGAAAGTTTTGAGCTGAGTTTTGAGCTGAATATTCAAATTTATGTAATCCCTCAACCAACAATACTTAGTGTGGGTACTAAATAAACTCAGCTGAGGTTCCTAAAAACTAAAAGCATGTGACCATTTACTGGTTGTTTTGTTGGTTGTTGCGCTACTTAAAGCAAGTAGGTTGCTGTAAAGAGCGCAAAAGTAGGAATAAGTAAGAAGCCAACAAAACGATAAAACATAATGTATGAGTTGTATATTCAAAAGTAGGAAGAAGTAAGAAGTCAACAAAACGATAAAACAAAATGAAATTGCTTGTCAATTTCTTAGAAAAGTATAAATATGATGTTTAAATGAAAGAACGCAATAATTCAATAATAAAATAAAAATAAATAAAAAGTACACAAGAAAGGAGTGAAAGCTGAATGATTCTACAACCACTATTTTGTCCTTTTCTTAGTGAAAAAAAAAAAAAGATGCAAGAGCCAAGAGGTCCAACAGGTCACAAAAGTAATGTTTAATTAGGCATCAGACTAAAACAATACAAATTTTAATGAATAGTTCACGAGAAGATAAGAGAAGACAGATGAAGATAAGGATTAAGTAGTGATATAAATAGGGTGGAAGCATCTGTTACCATGTAACATTTCAATTAAAATCAAAGAGAGGGGTTCGATAATGGACACGAGCAATAGTTCTATAAATAGATTTTACAATAGCATAAAATTAAACAAATATATTTTTTTATAAATCAAATCTAATACTTTAAATTACAAGTAATACTCACTTCACAACATAGTTACATACGTTTTACTGATGGAAGCTTCTACGCAAAGATCAAACACAGGGGCTTAAAAAACATAGAAACACTGCTCAACAAATAAGCAAAATTTAAATCTCTTTTACATAACTTTCAGGTGCCAGAAAGAGACTAAAACACTGTCTTCCACCTTGCCTTTAATTCAATTATTATATTCGACCATGTAACTTGTATTATTGATAAAATGAGTTCTTAAATATTAGAGATTATTTTTTATGAAAAAAGTGTCTGTCAGTCTTACCTCCTAAAAATTAAGATGAAATTCATCTTAAAACTACGTCGTTTCAATAACTTTTTATTGAAAAAAACTAAACTATCCTATTTTTAAACCATGCATTAAGGTGATATTTATCATTTTTCCTCCTAATTTTTGAGAAATAAGGCGGACAAGCATTAACCCCATTTTTTATTTAATCATTCTTATTTTGTAGTTTATTAAGTACTGTTTTACTGTGTTCGCTTTTCTCCTTTTGAATTGTTTATTCCGAGCTTGGTAACGTGAGCTTGTGACCCGAGTGGGGGCAATAAGGTGATGTGAAGGGTTGTGTTTGATGGGCACCATACTTTGGAAGGGCACCACATGTATGGTCAAGCCCATAACCCACGCGTTGTTCCCGTGAGGAGGCATGAGATTACCTTCTGCTTCTCAAATGGCTATATTTAAAAGAATTATAAGTTGGCTATTTGCTCTTAATGCATATGGTAAATATTTGGTTCATTTTCAATAACCATGAAGGAAAAAATTTAT